TGTATATATATATATGTATATAACTTTATTGATCTCACAATGGCGAAATTCCCTCTCTTCATTCCCTTTGGGGAGCAGCGCCCGGGGAGCAATCAAGGGTTAAGAGTCTTGCTCAGAGACCCAAAGTGGTAGTCCATGCTAGATACTATCATTTAAATCTTTTTTTTTGGTGGCTCTTCTTGTAAGTGGTAAAGATGTATATAAAGGTCATCATAAATTGCATATGCTATCTTCCCTGAGTATTAAACTCCTTTTTTCATTGGGTGCATTATTATTAATAGTATATAACTTCTCCTAATTAGAACACGAAAAAGCAGCTACCACGGTTACCCATTTTACAACTTCACGGCCCATCTATCATAAATATCCCTCTGCATTACATGTAAGTAAATAGTTCTTGGTTCTTAAAAATCTCTATAAGTTTTGTGAAGGTGAGTCTAATCTTTTAAATTTGTTTCTAAATCAGAATGTTTTTGCTATAGCTGCTTTTTAAATTTTGTTAAGAAATGAATACTCAGTGTTTAACATCTTGTCCTTTTTGTGTTTCCAAATTATGAAACATAAGTCTAAATGTAAGCCCCGCCTACTGGACCTTTTCTATAGGCTACAGTGTTCACATTCCTTTTTTATCCTTTGTTACGGTGACTTACAGCAAAGACGGTGGCTTTTCACACGTGTTGTTTTTACAAGAATAGGGGACCATTGAAATATGTCATTCAACACATGACTTTACCAAGAATGACAAGCAAACTTGTCAGAAATCATTAAAGCCAAGCTAAACCAACTGGTTTGTGGATGTGAAACAGAGATTGTTTTTTTGTTTTTTTGCTTTGTAATTTTTTTAGTGTATGGTCTCCTAGGGGCCAGTGTTAACATACTGTACCTTCCTTATCTGTTGCTACTTTCACTTCTTTTAGGAGCATTGACTCTTAAGAATGAACATGCACCAGATTTGGCGGATTTTTATGAATAATACTTATTTACCCACTGAAATCACTTCAGATTTCAGTGGGTATATAAATCCCCTCATTTCAGTGGGATATTTAAATGACCTTCAGGTTAAGGCAGATCTAAATATAAACCGTATTAAAATCAGCTCTAAATAAGAATATAGTCATGCAGAAGAATGTTAGTGTGAGGTAGTTTGGTCAAGGATCAGTAAGGTGAACAAAAAAACAGCTTTAGCCACCGGTCCCAGATTTCTCTGATGTCTTTTTATTTGGCACTTTTCACTCTCACAACCATCTCTATAGCTTCCAAGAGCTCATTGCTTCTATAACCAATTGGCAACAAACCTGAACTTGAGTCGGCAAAGCCACAATTAAACAGGAAGAAAAAAAACAAAGTCTAAAAAGAGAAACAAGAATAAAATTATGAATCTAGTTTACAAGCTCATCTACACAATGAAAGAGTCTGTAAAATAAACAATGTGATACCAGATAACTCAAAAAGTTACTTTGAAGAAAAACAAACAAAGCATTACTCCAAAGGAAACCCTCTAAATGGTAGAACCCACCAATGACATCATCTAGCCAATTTAACAGGAAATAATGAGACAAAAAAATTGGTGAGTTAAAAGGAAAACAAATACCATGAATATACTTTGTAACAAAATAAACAATTTCAACCAATAATCCAGAAGTAATAGCTTTAACCTGAACATATAAATAGAAGGAAGCTGCAACCTAATGCTTACACAAACAAACCCATGAACAAAGTAAGTGAATTAAAGTTGCAAAATAATGTTTAAATTTAAGCATTACGAATCAATAAAAATAAGGGACAAGTGGTGAACACAACCTGAACCACTTTGTCACAGTTAGACCCTTTCTTCTTTGTTCCCTTTCCATTGTGTTCCTTGGGTAACATACATTTAGAGCAAGAATTTAAAGAAAACAAGAGCGATCTAATATTTTTTTTCCTACTCTTGGCCAAAAAATATGACATTTAATTCTATTATTTTGATATGTTGCTTTAAAATAATCCCCAGGACAAATGTTTCATAATAATTTAACATTATTTAAAGGCACCAATGAAAGATGGATCTTTATGTTCTTTTTGGTCAATAGTGGTTTTAGCCTC